AGTTGTATTAAATATATTTGTAGTTTTTATAAATTTGTTTAATTTTTATCAACTGCAAAATAAATTGTTTAATAAAGTATAACTCCGTTGGAATTAAAAAAAAATTACTCTGTTCTAATAAAATTATAAGATTATAAAAAAATATCTAAAATAAATAACTTTGACACGCTACTTGCAAACTTAAACCTAAATAATATACATCCACCTCCTGAAATTGAAGAAGTATTCAACTTTTTTAATTCTATGAAGTCTATACATGACCATAACAAATGTCATGCCTATATGTTACTTAGATATTCGGTTGCAAAGGAATGCAAAAGAATAGGAGAAGTTAATGTTATCCTTATAGGCTGAGTCACGAATCACTTATGGAAAACTTCGACAACACAAGAGAAGACGGAATACAATGATCTGGCGCAGAGAGTGAAATCGCATTAACAAAATTAACAAAATACTTTCTAAAATTTATTATATAAATATACAATATGAAAGTATATAGTAAATTTACATACATATATTCTTTCATTTGATTTTTTCTTTAATGACTAATGTAATCTCCTCTTTATTTATTTAAATGACAAATTCATATATAAGAAGTACCCGACTCGCAAAGGGAATCAATTACCAATGCCATCTAAATAATCGATACCTGAATAATACAATTTTTTAAATAATAAATTTTTACCAAGTTAGATCTTAGTGTTATTTTTTTTCCTTTTCGTTTATTTTGGTATTTTCGATTATATTTAATTTTTTTTCTTTTTTCCATTTTAAAAACCTACCTATTCTTTCTTTCCAGTATTTTTTTTTCAATTGAATCTGGAATTTCCACATGATTGTTAAATAGTTTTCTTGACGATAGGATCATCTCCTATAAATATTTTGTTTAGGTCTCTGGGTATAAGTTCCTTATAATATTTTCAAATGAGAAGTCCCTTTCAACCTTAATGGTATTAACTTTAAGAGAGTCTATTTTATCAATTATTTCAAACATTTTGGACGTTGGCTTCTACTTGCTACTTTAATTTCGTGAATGATTCTTATGGAAACATTTATCAATAATTGAATTTTATTTATTCAATCTCGAAACTATGATAAATATATTATTATATTTAGTTATGTATTTTATGGTCATTTTCGCAAACACAAACACAAAAACACTTTCGTTTTATTTAATTTATTTATTTTAAGATCCGTTTTCGCAAAAACAAACACAAACACTCGTAATTTTAATATCGTTTTATGTCGTCGTTTTTTTTTTTCCGTAAATTATCAATTTATATATAATCACGTGGAATAAAATATTTCTGGACTTTTTTAAAGAAATTCTTTTTCATTCATAACATAAACCATTTTTTATTTTATTTTTTTTAAGAAGCGTACACGCACACACGAACACATTGTTCATTCTTTGTTACGTTTTTTAAGTGATGGCAAAATTATTTACAAAAAAAATATATATATATTTCCTTCATTTCTTTTTTTTTTGTTTTTTTGTTTTTTTTACAAAAATAGATTTTTTTAACTTTCTTATATATTTGAAAAAATAATCATCACTCAAATTTTGATCAAATTTTTGTTGATGGTAAAAAAAAAAGAAAGATACATATATATATAATAAATGCTAACCATCTTATATACAAAAGAGAGAGATACATATGTGATAATGTATATATATATAAAAATGCTAATAATAAATTCCAAATTTTCCACCACCAAGACCAGATAAGATCTCCTTCAAGAAATGTTAAACTATAATAATATTCGCCCGATAAAAAACCCAATAAAACCCAATCAAAAAAAAAAAAATAAAAAATAAAATAAATACAATAAACAACAACAAAAAAAATAAGGGAAGCTATTTACAATGATTGTTGTCAAAAAATAAAATAAAAATATAATAATAATTGAAAGACAATCAAAAGAAAATATAAAAATGAAATTCAGAAAGATAAAAAAAAATGTTCTTTTTGTAAAAAAAATATATATATGTGTGTGTGATAATAATAATAAAAGTCCTTTGTAAAAAAAAAAAAATGAGTTATAAAATATAAATTGAAAATGGATAAAAAAAGAATCTTTTTTTTTTATAATAACAAAAATATACATGTATGGGAAAAAAAAATAACATATAGACATGAAGAAAAAGGTAAAAAGAAATGTATGTAAAAAATGATAATAAAGGTGATAAAAAATGATGAAAAATAAAATTGTCTGTCTCCGTTTTTTTTAAAGAATGTATAAAAGATAAAGAAGTGAATAAGATTTATATTTACCATTTTTTTTCAGTGAATTTGGTTATTGTATTATATACATAAAAGATAACATCATTTCAATTCAATAATGATGATTTATATTTTTTTTACTTGACGTGTGAGAGAGAGAAAAAAGAGAAAGAGAAAGAGAGAAAGAGAGAAAGAGAGAAAGAGAGAAAGAGAGAAAGAGAGAAAGAGAGAAAGAGAGAAAGAGAGAAAGATATAGAGAGAGAAGCAACCAGAATCTTTGTTTCACATCATTGCCAATTTCTTTCTAATGCACCACCACCAGCTGCAACTTCACTTGCTACTTTTTTAGCAAATGACATCCGAAAATCTTCATTATTATTATTATTATTACTACCACCAATATTATTGTTTCCAATGCTATTACGCTTACCTGATCCATTTGTATTCGCGTTAGTGTTGGTGGAAGTGATGGTAGTAATAATGGTAGTACCGTCAACTGAACCCATACTACTAATAGATGATGAACTGGAACTACGTTGCATCAAAGTTGCTGGTTTAGGTAATAAAGGTGGTGGTGTGGATATTGATGTTTCTTCTAATGACCTTCGTGATGTATAGGAGAAAGGTTTTGATTTTATTGTGTTATTTGAATTATTATTATTTGAATTGTTATTTGAATTGTTATTTGGATTGTTTGTATTGGTGGCTCGAGCATGAACTTTTGTAACTGTAGCAGCTGCATGACTTTTCACTTCAAAGTTAACCGAATTCCTTGGGGAATGTGGTGGATGTGATAATGATACGGATCTCAACATTGATGTCATGGTGGTTGGACTTTTTTGTGGGTCATTATGTTCATACCCTCCAAATACTCGCATAGCTCCCATTCTCCAACTGGTTCTTTTAGAATTTGTGACAACTTCTTCTTCATTTTCATCCATATCCTTCTCAATTTCTCCATACTTAATTTTATCTGATTTATTATTATCTTCTTTCTCTTTTTCATCTCGCATTTTATCTAAACTACTACGAGATCCAAAAAAGAAATTACCCACTTTTTCTGTAATATTTCTTTTCTCTTTCTCTTTTTCTTTATCTTTTACACTACCACTTTCTTTATCTTTCATACCACTTTCTTTTTCTTTTATTCTACCACTTTCTTTATCCGAGATGGGTCCAGCCCTATCAGGTTTTAAAGTTATGGTTGCAGTAGTTGAAGTATTTGGCGTATTTGTTGTTGTTGTTAAATTTGTTTTAGTAGCAGCAATAGTAGTAGTAGTAGAAGTTGTTGTTAAATCAGGTCCATCTTCTAAACTTTGTGGTCGAGAATCTCCACTACCACTAGTTGAACCGGTACGTCCCATTCCACTACTGGTACTAGCGTTTCCTCCTGTACTCGTTCCACTTCCTCCTACCGTACTTCCAGTACTACCTCGATAAATACTACTAGCATTAGAAATAATACTATTAGATGTTGTTCCACCCCATGAAGCAGGATTTGATGATCTTCCACTACCCGAAACTCCTTTATGTTTATGTGGTTCACGTTTACAACTTAATTCATCGACACTCTTTTCGGGAATCCAAACTCTCGTTAATAAGTAATGAGTAATTAATTGTTGTTTTTCTTCAATCGTTTCATCATCATCATCATGATTTCGATGATGATATTTACTTCCAGTACGATGTAATGCGGCACTTATACTTGTTGCAGTACGAAAATGATGTTTGGTGGATGCTTTGATATATGATACAGGTGGTGTTGAATTATATTTTGGACCACTTTGATATTTTTGTAAAGTTTGTAATAATTCTTGAACGCGTGGATCATCATGAATTTGAATTCCGGTGGTGGTGGAAGGTATCGTGGTGGGGGTAGAAGGTATGGTGGTGGTGATGGTGGAAGGGGTTGTTATAGAACGTGGTGTAACAGGAGTTGGACCAACTGTTTTAACTGCAGCTAATAAATAAGTTGAATCCATTATAAATGTTCCTAAAAATGGTACGGTGGGTTTTCTTAATAAACCTTCTCGCATCACTTCCCGATACTTTCCATAATTTCTAGTTTCACTCATTAATTCATTTAAATCTTCAAATTTCACCATATTTTTCTTTGGTATACAAATCCAAGTTCTCTTTAACCTTTTTATTGGAGGTGTACCTAATGCGGAAAGGATAGCTTTTAAAGTTTGAAAATTATGTAATTCATGTAACTTAACTGCCACTTTAACCCAATGATTAATAACTCGTGCTCTTGATGAAGCTTCTAATGGTAATAAGATTGAACGTTCTATCACACGTGTTAGGTAATTAAAAAAGTCCGTAGATGCAGTTATTTTTGAATCAGGATTTTTCGGTGAATGAGAAAGTAATGATAATGGATCAATTTCCAAAAATATTGCAGATTCAATAAGTGTTAATTGATATGCTATCATGTGAGGTGCAAATTCCAAAATTTCCGGATCACTTGCAGCCTTATAAACCAATTTACGAGATCTTGTAATTGATCGTTTAAGATCTAAGAGAGTATTTCCATATTTAACAATTGAATCTTTAATTTCTTCATCTGAAAGTTCAGAACAAGGGTGATCACTATTTTTCACATCTAAATATCCCGTCTCCTTCCTTCTTTTCGTTATAATTCGATATTCTTCTAATTTAGATTCTAATGTTTGAATTTTTTGATCTAATTGAGAATGTTTAGTTAATAATGGTGAAGCAGGAATTTCTGGTACATGATCAGTATATTGAGGAGGAGGAGGAGATGATGATGATGATGATGATGATGGAGAAATTGGTGAATTTGAATTGATATTGTTATTATAATTATATGAATTACATGTATTGCTATTGTTGTTGCTGTTATTATTGTCAGTTTCAGTTAGAGCAGATACTAAATTATTTGGATCCACAGCACCTTCCGGTATTACATTAATCATTTTTGGTCTTTGTTGATCAAATAAATTTGGCATTGATAATGGAACTGCTATTGCACCATAAAATGAAGCAGGAGTAGTAGGTGATGTTATATGAGAAGAACATGGACTTTCTTCATCAGTAGGTGAATCTGTAACTGATCCTCCTGTCACATTTGATCGTTTCCTTGGAGTAGTTGTTAAACTAGGAGATGATGATCTACGACGTATTGATGAGTTTACATTTAATGAATCAGATCGACGAAGAAATGAATCTAATTGAAAAAATTTGATTAAAATGTGTTCAATTGTTTAATGCATCATAATTTATCATAATTTATCATAATTATTATAAATATCATTATCATAATAACATTATCATTATCATAATAATCATTATCATAATTATCATTATCATTATTAAAAAAAATCAACCTACCACGTTTACCAATATATTCATCGTCTTCATCATCAGAATCAGAACTATCAGCATCATCTTCACCTGATACAACATGAGCGTCTCTTCCACAACCGGAAATTTCAATATCTTTTAAATATTTTTTCATGCTAGGTGTACGAACAGGTTTTGGAGGTAATGGAGGTTTTGATGATGATGAAGAAGAAGATGATGATGCTGTTGTTGTTGTTGTTGTTGATGTTGATGCTGCTGCTGCTGTTGATGATGATGATGATAATGATGATGATGATGTTATTGTTGTCGCTGATGATGATGATGTTGTTGTTGCTGCTGCTGATGATGATGATGATGATGACGTTAATGATGTTGATAATGATGGATCATCCCCTCCACCACCTATTTTCATTGATCTACGTAATGGTTTAGGTGGTACTGCTGGAGGAGTTTTATGTGGATGTTCTTCTTGTTGTGGAGTTGGAGGAAATATTGCTATATTCAAATTTGGATTTCTTCTTGGTGGAAGTGGATTTTGTTTTGTGATTATTTCTTCTGCAGATGACAAACATGTCCGTGACATATTAAAAAGTGAATTGAAGGATGTTGGTTTTAATACAACTACTATTATAAATGAGATGATTATTAAAAAATTAAATGAAATGGATTTTAAATGAGATTGATTGATTATTAAATTTTTTGAAATAAGATGATGATTAAATATAAATGAAATAATGAAATAATTAATTAAAATTTATTTAAATGAAAATTATTATAGATAATAAATTAGTTTATTGGATCAGGATTTTTTTTTTATTTTTTATTGATTTTTTCCATCATTTAAAATCATTTAAAATCATTTAAAATCATTTAAAATCATTTAAAAACATCATCATCATTTTAAACAAACATTTTAAATAATTCAAAATAATTCAAATAAATAAATAAATAAATAAAAAAAGTCAATAAAACCTCACCATTATTTACAAATTTTATATTACGTAATTCTTTGGCTGCCAATTCAAGTATATTCAAATATGAAAAATATGCATCCTAATGAAAAAAAAATAAAAAATAAAAAATAAAAAATTTGAACCATGAAAATCCTGAAACTACTAAGGGAATCACGAAAATCAATAATTTTAAAATTATTTTTATCCTTTTTGATAGAAATAATAAATCACCTTCATATTTCCCGCTGCCAAACTTTCTGCTGCTGTTTTTAAACGTGTCTGTATTGTCTGTATTTCTTCCATATTTCTTTATTTTTATTTTTAGATAAGATAGATATATAGATATATTGATATTTATATATATTTATATATATTTATATATATTTATATATATTTATATACGTTTGTTTCTGTCCTTTTTTTTTTTTTTGTAAATCAACTTTATTTTATTTTTTTTTTCTCTCTTTATAAACTTATATACTACTTCTCGGAACGTCCTCCACAAAAACCCTTAATCTTTTATCTCTTTCGTAAATACAATCTAATAATAATAATGTTATTTTTTGTTGAAATATGCTTTTTTGTGATTTTGAAAGTCCTGGACAAGTGAGTATGGATGAAAATGATATTCGTAAGGGGTACATGTAAATTCTTGCTATTTTTAAATCATATATTCTTTATCGTTACAACAATGAAAAGGGTTCTAGTTTAATATTATTCTTTTAAAACCTGTTCCGTTTTTTATTTTTATTGTTTTTATTATTATTATTATTATTATTATTTTCACGCCTTTTTATATTATATATGAAGAATTTTGGGAGATGGACGTATATATATATTAATTAATGTTTTATAGACACATGAGTGATTTCCCAATATACTCCAATATACTATACTATAATATATACTATCTACTTTATTTTATTTTATTACTCCGCAGTCGATCGGGCAACAATAAAATCGCCGGGTAATACAAAATGGTTTAAACAATATCCAAATATCAACAATATGAAATATCCCTATCTGTAAAGTAAAAAAAGTGTGTAAAAATTATTAATAATTTTTAAAATAATAACTGATAATAATAATAATAATTATTATTTTTTTTAATAATCAAATAATTGTTTAAAAAAAGTTAAAATGCCGGGATTAAATGTTTGATTGTTTGATTATGTTTCTATATATTTGACTCTCCTGATGAACAAAATAATTTACCCAATTCGAGGACGTGAAACTATTTTCGGGTTGGTATTCGTTGCATATTGGCAGTTTGTTATAGGAACACGACATCTTTTTTTGATGCACAAACAAAGTTAAATTATCTCGAAAATTGTTGGTTAAAAAATCTTCGAATGCAAATAACTAAATTAACTACGCAAGTACCCGAATCTTCTATTTCTTCACCCTCTATTCCATTTCTATTTTAAAAAAAAATCATCAATGTTGATCCTAAAATGACGATGATAAGCTTTTTGAGAAACATTATTAATTTTTTATTTTTATTTTATTTTTTTTTTTTTAAAAAAAAAATTAATAATAGATTTTCTTTTTTTAACGGAATAACGAACTTTTTGTCACGAGGTAACATTTTGATGATCGCGTGATGAAAATGATAATACTACTGTAATATCTCGAGATAATTATCATGTGCATTCTATACAATATATACAAGGTGTATTTTATTCCTTTTTTTTATTGGTAACGAAAAATTTGGATTATTATTTGTTATCTTTTTTTATTATGTGTGGCTTTTTATTTATAATCTCCATTCTTTCGATAATTTTTTTTTTTTTATTTGAAATTAAAAATGTTCTTTAAAAAGAGAAATTTGGTATTAACTCAATTTTCCTTTATCTCATTATAAAGGGAGAGGGGGTTTTTTTTTTTTGCCACATTCTTATTCGCTACTTTAATCAATTAAATTTGTGATGTGGTACTAAATAATCTTAAAAAAATTATCTAGATAACAGATAACAGATAAAGAATATAATCTTAAATAACAAGAAGAATAACAAGATAAAGGAATCTAAATAAATAAATAAATAATCTAATTATCAGATAAAATAAATTTAATAGATAAATCAGATAAATAAATCCAAAAATAACAACAATAAAATAGTTTAAATAAAAAAAAAGTTCTTGAAGAGAAATTCTCTTTTTTAATATAAATGTCTATATGCTCTATAATATGTATAAGGTTGAATAAAGGAAATAGATTTGAATAAATAAATTAGAATAAGAATTTTTGTCCCAAAATAGATTACAAGTTAATGCTTCAAAAAAAAAAAACAAATAAATTATGGAATGTTGTACTTGACTGCGAAATTTGATTTTAAAATCTAAATATGTCATAACTGACTAGGATTGATGATTTACAGTCAGTCTTTTTTATTTTTGGGTTCTAAGAAAGAAATATTATGAAATTCCTTTCCCAAGAGAAGATAGAGGATATGATTATTTTTCCTTTTGTGGAAGCAATTAAAAAGGCAGAAAAAACAGTTACTGCATAAAATATGTGGTGGATCAAGAAAAAAAAAGGTAGAAGAACCGTTATCAAAAATACATAATTTTTTAAAATATTCGGGTAAAAGTAAAGACGTGTTTTAACTTTAATTTTTCATTTTGAAGTCAACCATTCTTTAGTTTATTAGACCAACAAATCGCATGATATTGATCTGGCGCTAAAAGAGAAGTAATCATTACGTAACTAACTCGCTTTTGCAATTCGTTTTAAATAATAAAAATTTCTTTAACATAAAACATATCAAATTGAAATTTTGCATTAATATATAAAAAGGTGCATTTTTAAATCCATCTAACATACATAGTAAAATGATATGCGACATATGCGAAAAAAAAAAAATTGTATTTTATGCTAGAAATACTTGATTTTTTTTTTTTTTGATATGTAACTTAATGAAACTTGGTAGAAATTTTTATCAATTATAATATCGAACACATGAGGGCAAGTATTTTTAAAACCACCGGGATATCCCAGGAATGGGCAAGTTTTATAAGTTCATGTTGTAATCGTGATGCATCTGAAGTTGATATTCTTAATCTCAATATATATATCATCGACGGGATGTCCCATGAACGGGCAAGTCCAGTTCACGTTGTAAACGTGATACGTCCGAAGTTGATATTCTTAATCGATAAAATTTGATAGAGCAAAAACATCATTTTAATATTAAACATTAATAAATGTCCCTAAAAATTAGGGACGATTGATTTTTTCGTGTGTTATGAACTTTGTGGGCTTTATTATTATTATTATTATTATTATTATATTTATTTGATTGATTTTTATTGTGTATATGTGTATATGTGTCAGTATCATTTAAATGAGGTCATGCCACAGATCTACTGTGCTCATTTGATATTCTTGCGCAGCTTCTTTTTAGTTTTAATATATGACGACTATATTTTTAATCAGATAAACATAAATTTTGTCTGCTGGAAATTTTCCCGAGTTGTATTAATATCATCAATATATACAGTACATATCAAAAATCATGATTAATTACTTCTCATTTGCTGTGTTGTTCTTGGATCAAGTTCACTAATAACCTGAGTTGGTTATCGTGCAACCTCTAACACACCCATCGATCTGGGAGTTGACCTTAAAAGACAGAGAATAATGTAAAGAGTTTTAACAACAAAATATTTTTTAAGAACAACTGTTTCAAAATGACTTCAACAAACCTTTCTAAGTTAAGGTTATTCTTCTACTCTTCTACACAACACTTGCTTGACTTTTCTCCAGTGTCAACTCCCTTCCAGAATTTTGTAGTAATAGTAATTTGTTTTTTTCAATAAATTTGACAAAAAAAAAAAACGAAATTGATTAGTATTCATCTTGGTTTTAAAACCTTTAAGATTGCCACAGTTTTTTTTTTTTTTTTTTGCACGACGACACTCGTCCCGGGAGGAATCCAAGGATTGTTTGCATGAGTAGAAGAGCGCGCACCTCCCCCGAGTTGTGCGTCGTGCGGAGAACGGCACCCCATACTCAGAAACCTTAAGAAGAACGAAACCCCCGCGTACTACTAAAAAAGATTATATACCAACTAGGAAAGATGCGACATAATTTTCATTTTCTTCTCTAGGGAAGTTCATCAATAACCGGGCTTCAGGGTTTCAAGGAAATTATTATTTGACCGTAGTACTGGTGTATCTTGAAAATACGAAAAAATTTCCTTATCTAAAAAAAAATTAATATGTAGAAGTTTGTAGAGATATAACTCAAAATGTACATATTAGAAATCCTTTACCAACCTGATAAAGAAAACTAGACATCTGTTCACAGCATTTTTAAATTTCTTTAGTATGTAAAATACGAACGAAAAAAAAAATGAGACATTTAAAATTCTGGGAAATGATAAAACTTGGTTTTAAAAAACACGATCTGTTATTTAAGAGAATAATCACATGAACAAATTCTGATTTGATCGTGGTTCAAAATTTAAATATCGAATCATAAGCTTCAAATTTACCAAATTCAACAAATTCAAGCTCAAAAGCTTGTCATAATAAAAATCAATTTTAAAAATATTTTTGGTTATATACTTTTAACTAATCGGTAAGTACAATTCAACCGTTGAAATTCGTTGAAATTTTTTGTTTTTTTTTTTTTTTTTTTTTAAAAAAAAAAAGAGAAACGAGATTCCATGTACAAAATAGTTTTCAAGGAATTCTAAAAATAATTCATCTCACATATTTGTCAGCGCAATTACCCTAAACTAAAATACTTTGCATTCCAACTCGAACATATTATATATTATTAAATTTTTAAGATCGCTAAGAATATACATATATTTCAAGAAATATAAAATCAGTAAACATGCCTAGTGACACGCGCCCTACACAACTTGGAAGTGACCACCTCATCGATTCAGAACTTTTACGACAATTGAATGCCAAAAAAGAAGTGGTTAGTAACAATTACATTACTTTTTTTTTTTATTTATATTTTATTTTTGTAATTTATTTTTTATTTTTTATTTTTTTATTTTTATTTTTTAATAATGATTTAGCTCGTGAACGCGTATGAACAAATCGCTCAAGCACTTAGATTTGCCGCCAAAACTTGTGATGAATTTCAAGCACTTATCCCTAGAGACGTTGGAATAATTCCCAGTGATACTAACACAAGTGCCCCTTCATCTGTGGGACATTCATCAAGAAAGTTCAAGAAACCACAAAACAAGGATCCTAATGCACCCAAGAGGCCAAATACTGCCTACATTCTATTTAGCAATGAAATTCGTGCGGAAACGAAGGTTGATAATCCACATGCTAATCAAAAAGAGATTGTTACCCTCATTGGTAAAAAGTGGAAGGCGCTGTCTCGCGAACAAAAGAAGGTAACTTTATTGTATATATATATATATATATTATATATAATTCATTTATTATTATTTATTATATATATATATATATATATATATATTTTAATATTCAATTTTAGGTTTACGAAGACCGTTATTTTGCCGACAAAGAACGATATGATGAAGAGCTTCGTTTATATCGTGCAACACACGGACAAGTAGACTCACCGCCTGAAACCTCTTCCGAAGATAACGTTGATCACAGCATCGTATCAGGTGCAGCATCTTCTTCCAAACAAGCAACCACACCTATACCTACGACAGAAAATCCTGTTGCATCAGGTAGTATTTCAGTACCACCCCCAGATGCAGAAACTAATGCATTGATGGATACGCTGACCGATGCCTTCTTAACAGATGCCGCAGATCCAAATGTTTTTACATCAAATACTGAAATCGATCAACCCGAGACATCGACATCGACAAGTTCAAAAAAACGTGCCCCACCCGAAATAGACACGGAAGATAACTCGAAGAAAGATAATGATGCACCGGCCTCGAAAAGAACGCGAGCAGCATCCCGAAAAGCCATGGAAACCGAAGACGTTTTTAATCCTCCCAATGATCTTGAAAATACCGCCGTTGAACAACCAAGTAATACTTCAAATACTTCAAAAAGGACAACAAGAGCCAGAAGATCCGCCGCTAATAATGGATCAGCAACAACACAATCCAAAGCTGGTACTCCTGGTACTCCTAATGTTCGTACTAGACGTGGTGGCAAAGTCTAGATGATGATTTATATTATTAAAAGTTTTTTTAAAAATTTTTTTTCTTTTATTTTTATCTGTCGACATTATTATTATTATTATTGTTATTATTATTTTTGATTTTTTTTTTACAAAAAAAAATATAAAATTTATAAATGATTTTGTAAATGCTAATAATATTTTGAAATTTAATTGGTTTAATGTGATGTGATCATCATCATTTTTGTTCTGTTACGCTTTTTTTTTTTTTAGATCTATGGTGGTTTATTTCATAATGGTATAAAATTTTTTTTTATTTATCATTTTCAAAAAAGCAAAAAAAAAAAAAAATATTATATAATCTTTAACAGCTTTATCATTTTCAAAAGCAAAAAAATGTATTATATAATAATCTTTTATATCCTTCTAATTAGATGTAAATAGATTTTTTTTTTCAGATTTTAACCCGTTTAGTAATTCTATCAGCTGTAGCTTTCAATTCCTCTTTAGAAGTTTGTTGGGAATCCCATCTGATCCCTAAACCTTTTTCCTGATTTGGTTTTGGAATCTTTTTATTATTATTATTATTATTATTATTTTTATATACATATAGAACAAAAAAAAATGCAATTGGATTCAATAACATTCCATTCCATTCGTATGTCTACAATGAAAAATATTTTTCTACATACCACGTGTATATGAACATGTTCCACGACCTGGTGAGCAAGGGGTCCATTATTCTTAAACCAAAAAATTTATTATTATTAAGATTATTATTATTATTAAGATTTATCAAAGTGATGATGATAATTACCTGTAAAATATTATACTGTTCAGCACCTGTTGCAATTGCAACTTTTTTTGCAACAGGTAATAAATCTGCCAAATATTCGTCAGGAAGTTCGTGCAAGAATTTACTATGATCTTTATTTAAAAAAATTGTTAGAGGATATTCAAAAAAGAAATAATAATAATAATAATAATAATAATCGGATATCAAAAATCCTGTAATTCATAATTTTAAAGTCGTACTAACACTTTGGGATAACAAGCTATATATATATAAAGAGAATAATTGTTATTATTAAATGGAAATTCGATATAAAAGGATATATAAAACAATAATACATATAATACATACAGTATGCCCTTCGGATAAGGGACTTATATCCAAGAAGGCAAGACTATCAAATGTGAAAAATTTACATACATTTTTTTTTTTTTTTTTAGAATTACATTAAAAGTGGTGGTATTTTTATTGAATTCCAAAAATTTTGAAAAAAAATATTGTTTTTCCTCACGTATGTTCCGTCTCGTAAATTATTTCGCAGGGAGCTACTCGTTTAATTATTTTACAAAAAAGACAACTCGCAAGTAAATTAGACATGTTATGCCGTAAGAAAAATAAAATGAAATAATAAAAGAATAATAATTCTCATCTAATTATTGGTTATCTTTTTATACTACTACACTTAAAGAAAAACCCGTTTTACAAATCACTCATGAATATCACGTGTTAAAATAGCTCATTCTTTAATCATTTTTTTTTGAGATAAAAATTGATTTCATCTAATTTAGATTACATTTATCATTAAATTCTCTCTCCTTTCTTCAACAAAAATTTGCTTTACCATAAAAAAAAAATTGAATCTTTCACTTAGACTGGAAAGAAATAAATAAAATAAAATAAATAAATAAATGAATTTTCCATTTAGATTGGAAATAATAGTTAATAAAAAACAAGTTACAATATATCTTATATATCATATATATATATAAGTATGTGTGTTAAAATAAAATACAAAAAAAAAAATTTCATCCAAAAAATATTTAACCATGAAATGTATATTAAAAAAAAAAAAAATTTAAAAAACTAGGTATTTTTATTAATAGCGCCACCATTAATTTTAACTGTAATTGCTGGAATACCGCCATTATCGGTTGGTTTTCCAACTTTAGTGATGACGCCATTCACGCCATTCACGCCATTCACACCATTCACACCATTCTGTGCAACAATGTCTTTCTTACTATTATCGGAATTAGATGGAGTAGATGAATTAGATAAATTAGGTGATTTAGATGGGTAGTATTTAAATTCACTTGTATCATCTTTATTGTCTTCTTCTTCTTCTCCTTCTTCTTCTACTGCTGCTGTTGTAACTGATGCTTTATAGACAAATCTTTCTCCTTCATTTCCCTCAGTTCCTTCAGTTTCCTCATTTCCTTCATTTCCTTCATTTTCTTCATTTTCACCCTTTTCATAATGAAAAACTGATTCTTCTTCTTCATTTCCTTTTTGATCATTAGATGTAGAGGCTCCCTCGTATATAAATTCTGATTCATCTTCATCCTCTTCTGATTTATTTATGTTTTCTTCACTTGGATAAATAAATTCCCCTTCATCCTCATCGGGAGATTTATTATCATTATTATTATTTCCGATGATAAGTTTACCAATTTCCCCAAATTCTTTTGTTGACGATTCTTTAATTCCATCTCCTCCACCTGAGAGAACGAGGATAGATGGAGTAGAGAAACTTTGTGAACGAGGTACAAAAGCGGGTGCATTTGGATTAAGATTTTTTACTGAATTTGATTGAGGTGATGAAATAGGTTGATTGGATTTTGAAGATTGTGGAATAGCAATGGCAGCAGATCTAGGTGTTGAATCAGATTTTGAAAAATCTATTTGAGTTGTATTCTCTTCAAACATTTCAACGGATTTTGATGTTTCTTCCATTAATGAAGCATGTAAAGTACTAATTTCATTAATTCTAGTTTTTGGTGAAGATTCAATTTGTCCTGATTTTATATTAATAGGTCCTTTTGGTGAAGCTGTTATCTTATCCATTCCAGAATTTTCTGATAATTTCGATTGAACATTAAATTCTGTGACTATAATATTTTTGGTTGAAACATTTGTTGTTGTTTCTATATTATCACCACCATCATCACTTCCCACATCACCTAAACTAGTTCGATCATCTTCACCTTCAATTTCATCCTCTTCTTCAAAATCGTTTTCAATACAAGGAAGTTGTTCGTTCTCTCCAAGTGGTTCAATTTCAATACTTTCATCAATTAATTGTTGTTTTGTTAAGTAAACACGAGACACAAGCCAATGGTGTATTCCTAAATCACCAAAACCTTGACATGAAAGATCTAAAGGTAATGGTATAGTGTTTCCATCCAAAGTAATTTGTTCTCTAACACGTGATGTCGATGCGGTTTTTCGTGAAGTGCTAATTTCGTCATCATCACGGGGCATTTGATTTTTTTGACATTGTTCTAAGAAAGAAAATATGGAATCTAATTTACGTGCACCTGGTGCTGAAAGAATGACATTAGAAGAATCACCAGATTTCCCACTAGTATATGATTGTGTAATTTTTTTAATTTCTTCATAATGAGGTTGCATCCATGGAATAATGATCATCCCTTTACTGGCATCACGAAATTCTTCCACTTTTTGAGAAACAATTTCTTTATATGCTTTATATTCATTATCTTCCTTTTTAATATATACTGATAATTCTTTTAAAATTTGATTTTGACGAGAAGATACATTATTCCATAATCGTTTTATTCTATATACTTCAGGTGAAGTAAGAGCTTTAATTACAGCAGCGAAACTATTAAAATTACGATGAACATTAAATAGGTAAAATGCTATTTTAATAGCGAATGCAATAATATTTTCTCGAGGATTTCTTGATGAATTAGCGGAATTATCAGCATAAATAATAAGTTGATGAGTGAAACTATTTGTTAAATATCGATGAAAATCCATACATGCCTGAGCTCGATTGTTTTTTTTATCTTTAGAAGTCAAATCTTTTCGAAAATCCACTTTACTATATAATTGACTTTCAATTATAGTCAATTGTTGTGCCACTTTAATGGCTTCCCAATAAAGTAATGTGTTTTCGGCAACAGATTGAATATGATTATTAACTTGATCAAGTTTAGTTCTTTGTGCACGAACTTCTTCAGTTAGTTTGATAACTGAAGGACTAAGGTCCTTAGTATTATTACTCTTTTGTGTTGCGGCAGAAACTTTTTGAGATGCGGTGGCAAGTTCATGAGCATAATGTATAGCTTGCCTAGTAAGAGGAGAAAATGGGACTAAAGGTAAATGTAGAGGTTGTGGATTACTATTTGTGAAGATTGAAGTAGCGACATCGGAGATATACGAGGGTTGAGGTGAAGGAAAGTGTCCATTTGTCAACTGATTATGAAGGATGTCCTCGAGACTTGCTACGCAAGATTTGAGTTGATGAAATAGACGAGCACTGTTGGTCGGTTTGGATTTTACAGCGTCTAAGAAATTAAGGATGTTAAATAAAAATTATTATAAAATTTATTATTTTTTTATTATTTTTAGGAAAAAAACTGGTTCATCACGTTATTAAAAATAAGCATTACCTTTTCTAACGAAAGCAACTTCATTACTGAGTTTAAAAAGTAACGCGTTTGCTGCTTTGCAATAATTAATATACGATTCCTAAACGTATAAGAGAAGTGTTTAGACGATCACTTTTATAGTTTAAAGCGAGAAAGAGTGGTCAAACCTTAAAGTTTCCGGTATTGTAATCGTTTGTTGCGGCGTGATACAGACTTTCCCAACTGTTCATTGTTGAGTGAATTTTCTTTAGAAATATGTATAAATAATAAGATAAACCCTTCTCTTAAATAAAATTATAAGGATACTATAAAATTATTTGAAGGGTATTTAATGAAAGTTTGAACATGAAAAACATGCATAATGAAAGCAATTCTTTGATATCGAGTTTGTGTACAACATGACACAGTCATTTGATCAATTAGTAACATTCAGTTTTTGAAAATGTTTGGCTCAATGTTTTTTTTTTATGGTTTTTATTGAAATTTTTAAAATAACAAAGAAAAAGGAAAAATGAATTTTTCTTGATTTATCCTACTTAATGATGATGATAAAATTACATTTTGCTTAATAATAATAATAATTTTTTTTAATTTATTATTTTTGTATAAAGATATTTTAAGACATTACCTGTATAAAAAATTGCATAAAAAAAAAAAATTATAGTATTTCGAATTCATATAATGAAGGACATGCTGTTTGTGTAATTTTGAACACTCCACCCATGAAAGTATTTGATTTAACCCAAAGGTCATGATAAAGAAGATAAAGTTTTGGTGGAAGAGGCGCCTTTAAATTATGAAAAGGTAAAATAGAATATAAAAGTAATAAATATACAAAGAATATTATTTTTTTTATATTCTTTATGCAAAGAAAAAAAAAATGGAAATAAAAGAAAGGTAAATATTTACCTTAAGACCAGTTGATGCATATGAACTAGCAAGTGATTCAGCCCATTCCCTTACTAATTTATATTTTTCCATACAACCAATTTTTGCTATAGCTGCGCTGACATCTTCTGAATAATATTCTTGTAATAACTTAACTGTCAATTCATGCATACTTGATCTCCATGGTGTATTGACTAAAGCTTTTATTACTCCACTCCATTTGATAGAAGAAAGTGTACGAACACGATGATGTTTAATAATTAATGTAATAAGGGTTTGCCAAGCACTTTCATATACTTCAACATGAGAAGAATTTGGACTATATTCCACTGGTAAGGTAAGTCTAAAGTAATCTAAAGCTCGTCGTAAAGATATAACGTCCCCTTTTTCACAACGGTCAAGCATATAATGACAAAATACCTAAATAATATAATTAAAATAAATTTCAAATTTAATTAAATTTAAATTTTTTTTTTTAAAAAAAAAAAAAAAAAAAAAGAAAAGAGAATCAAATTCAATCAATCAATCAAATCACAAAATAAAGAAGGATATATTTACTTTTCTGGTTACATCACTACGTTTCAATATACGCAATTCGTTATCTCCAAATTGATACATTGGATTATTCTGAGGTAGCACTTCATCTTCATCTTCAGCGGTTTCGTTCAATTTGAGCATATTCGCTGTATTTTGATATCGAATTTTATCATCAAACATCAAAAAGAGTAATTGTTTATAGAATTTTGTGTAAATATCTTCTTCCACTTGAGGCATGGTGAAATTTTTAGTGATCACCATTCTATGAGCATTACTTCCAAGATTAACCATAGTAGTTAACCATTTGAGGGTTGATTCTTTATCTTTCTAATAAATGAAATATAAAAAATTTTAAGTAAAATTTTCAAAAACAAAGATTATACAAAAAAAAAAAAAATTATTCGCGACAAAAAAAAAAATAATAATAATAAAATAAAAAATATAAAGTATACCGTTATTGAGGTCACAACGTTATGAATATATTTTGTGGGATGTTTGACTTCTGAATTTTTATCAGAATTTTTCCTGACAACATCATCAAGGTATCTTTTTAAAACTTCTACTATTTTTGCTGAAAAAACATTATATACGATTGGATCTAAAAAAATCATTGCGATGTCACTAAAAAAAAAAAATGAAATTAATAAATTTTAATATTTTTTTATTCTATTCATTTATAATAAAAGACCTTTGAATTAACAAACTTACCCTAATTCTCTAGAAGAATTTTTCTTAAATTTAGAACAAAGAACACTTATTTGACTCATACATTGTAAATCTATACCCTTTCTAATTCCTCCATTGACATACCAAATTACATTGTAGGAAAGGTCTTTTTTACACATCTATTATAAATAATTTTTTAAATAATAAAATTTAAATTATTTAAATTAAATTTTCTATGATCAAGACTTACATGAATTCTTCCAGCTTTCTGCATTCCCATGAAGAAATCAAAACGATAAGAACATATTTTTGAGAGACCAAAATCCTTAAACCATTCTCTAACGAATTGTAGAAAATCTTCGAAAAGATCCACACTTTCGTGAACTAATATAATAGTCTGTTGTAATCCATTATCATTTATTCTGTAATAAAAAAGAATAAAAAAAAAAAAAAAGAATTTCATAATTTTTTTCTTTTTTTAATAAAAATATTCCTATTATGCAAACCTAAATAACCTAAATGATAAATTCTCACCGTTTATCCAAAATTTCGTTAACATTTATTCCTCTCATTTCTTTTGACATCATACATAATCCCAAATTTTGTACATAATTTAATAATTCCCTTTGAGCAACATGTTTGAATTTTGCTTTATTCCGAATTAATAAACCTCTCTTTATCTCAATTGGTGCTTCCTATTTTTTAATTGTTTTTAATTGTTTTAAATGAATGTACATTAAAAAATTTGAATCTTAAGAAAGATAATTACCTTGTCAATAGATGGCTCCTGTGCTAAGAGAGTATAAATATCTGATGTTATACGATCGGGATATTTCTTAAGAAGTGCTAAAATTACTGGTCGTAATTCTTTAAGAAAAATCAAGTTTAATGTCTTTGACAAAAAACGATTAAATCTAGAAAAAAAGAAGAAAAAAAAATAATTAAATATATATACATAAAAAAAAAAAAAAAAAGAAGACTTATTATTCAAAAAATTAATAATCTCTTATATCCAAATTTCCATACTTTTCTTGATCCCAGTTCTCTTGTTCGATCGCTTTTATGAATTTATCTTTTAATTCTTCTAAAATTCCCGCATGAATACTATATCTCGACATACCACTATATTCAAGTAGTGGATAAACATTCTAGAATTTGTCATATATTAAGTTATAATAGTTGACTTTTGATTTCGTTAAGTGCTTAGAGATGTTAGAAGACGCGATTTTTACCTCAATATTTGCGATGTTGACTTTGTACTGTTCTTGGATCGCTGAAATCCCTGTAATAGGATCACTATCACCGAGAACTAAACCAAGGCGACGTGCACCTTGGGGTCCTATCATATAACGATCCGGATCGAAAGACATTATTTGGATTTTTCGGATAACTATAACTGTAGAATGATAGCACACGACGAGCACAACGGAATTTCATCTAATTGGCTACTAGATCTGCCGGATCAACATGATTTGTGATTGATAATAACAATGCTATAAGACTGCGGTTACAAATCTTAACACATAATTACGGCATTACTGTACGTATTACGGAATACAGTCAGACCCATCGAATTATTCTTTTCATATAAGTGTACATATTCTGAAATCAATTGTTCACCTCTGATACCAACTCTGAATCCGAAAATAATTCCCTTTTGCCACTGCAGGATCAAGCTTTTCCTCAATCATAGATTTTGAAAAATGTAAAGGCTGACCAAGTGTTTCAATACTCTGGTGAAAACTATTTGCCAATTCATCCTACTCATAATAAAATAGAAGAAAGCTTTAGTTCAACAGTATTGTTAATAAACTAGGAGAGGTTCATTCTGCAACTTCATCGCTATTGTCACACTTGTTTACACACGTCTATTGACGACCAGTTTTATATGATTTTTTTTTTATAAAGAATGAAATAAAAAAAAAAAAAGATTTTTTCAGATAGTTATTTTTTGAATATTCAATCGATTCAACTATAATTTTGTAATGATCTTGATAATGGTAATAGATTGTTTCCAACCTTCGTTAGGTGACTCTGAAATTTTTTACTATTAATATTATCTATTGTTACATCAACATTTTTGTATTTGCTGAAAATATTTCGGTCTAATTTCACATCATCTACACCAGCCTGCCAAAAGTGTCCAGGCAGCTGTTTTTTAACAAATTTTTTAATAAAATTTAAGAACAAATTGTGACACAATGAATGACTTAAATTGTATAAACTTTTTTTAAAAAAAATCCCCTGGTCTTAGGCTATCATATGATATCTTAGTTATTAAAAATTGAACGCTTGCTTGTACAGAAATTTTATTTTAAATGAAACTAATCAAAAATATCTAATTGAATTATTAATCGTAATGTCCCTCGATTTCAATAACCATTCATTGAAAGTACTGACTATCTTATACAGACTTGTAGTCCAAAACAAGGGCTACAACTGTACCTAATACTATTTTTAACGTTTTCTAATTAAAATCAAAACTTTACTTAGGGATGACTAAATTTATTTATTTATTTATTTATTTTAGCAGACCGGCACAATCTCATACAAAAAAATACGGTGAAATTGTATTAGCTAATCTAATGTTACCACTTAACCTATCACTGTGTAAAATTAGATTTTACAATTAGTAAGTTTCAACCACTACAGCCCCACTTAATAAATTGAAAATAAACTTGTAAATTGAGGTATCTATCTGTAATAAGTAATCTATTGCTATATTTAGAATATGGCCTCTGGATTTTTCTATTTGATTTTTTTGTTTTTTATAGGTTTCTTTATTTTTTTCCTTATTTTTTGTTTTTACATTTGGGAATTTCTTAAGTTTCCTTTTTATTTCTTTCTGCTCATTTGTTTTTTGAATTTGGTTATTTCTTTCTAACCATATTTCATGAAGTTTCTTTGTTGTGGTCTGGTACATTTTGAGGACTTTTTCTTTAGCTGTTTTCCTATCTGATTCTGTTACTGCTGCTATTTGGTCAATTAGTTGTTTAGATATAAGTCCTCTTATTATATTGCTAAAGCTGAATTTTGAATCTCTTGCCATTTTCCATGTATTTATTCTGTTTGGATCAAAGGAGTATAATCTGTTTGTTATTATTTTTTCCCTTATAAATTTTCTAACTTTATTATGATTAATATTAAGTTTTTTTAGATGGTCTCTAATTGTATTAATTCATATCTGTTTGAAGTTTTCTTTATTAACTTGACATGTAAAAACATAAAGTGTTAATTCTATTTGTATTTTACATCTTGAACAATTTGAATTTTGATATATTTCTTCTTTGAGATTATTTAGTCTTGAGTATGTTGATAGTTCATCATATATTATTTTTATTCTGAATGTTCTTAGACTTTGGTCCATGTTTAATGTTTTTCTGTTTATTAATTTTGAGTGGTTTTGTTACATTCCAATATATTATTTTTTTTATGTTTCTATTGAAAGATTAAATAAATCTAAATTGTATTTTCTAGTTAATTAGATTTTGAATATTAGTTATATCTTTGGTTAATTCTTGTATTGGATCATCTAGAAATTTGTTTCCTTTTTTTAGTTGATAGTTTTCTACGAATTTATGTTTATAGTTAAAGTTTACAATTGTTTTATTTATTGTTTCTTTTTGTACTAGTTCATCTGCTTTATCAATTAGAAGTATTCCTGTATACACTTTTATTTTGATTAATTTTAGGTTAATGTTTTCTTTATTATTGTATCTTTTATTATTAGTAGTAGATTTGGGTTTTTATAAATTTTTCAGTATTTTCTTTATTTGAGATGAATAAAATTAGTTATTGAATCTATTGTACTTTTTGAGTTTGTGAAGATTTCTATATTTGAGTTATTTGAAATTATTACTATAGTTAATGTGATTGCTATTAATTCTGCTCTTGTTAATAATGATAGACCTGTTGTTTTCTTATTTAATTCTTTGATTATTTCATTTGTAACTTGGTTTATTAAGACTATTCCATATTTTATCTGTATTTGTTACTTCATTAGAGTTTTGTTGTTGTAGATTTTTTTCATTGATCCATTAATATACGCTGTTACTAGTCGACCTTTTGGGCTAATTTTATTTTCCAAAAGGCAATTTACAACTAGCAACTTGTAAACAGTTAC